GCTATTGAATAGAAAACCAGCCCCCCCCTGCCACACCCACCTGTCACATCCTCTTTTTCACAGTTCATTGATAGCTCTCTCTCTTACATTTCATTGTATATATTACCTATAATAAATAGAAAGTCAAGGTTTTCATGTATCAAATGACATATTGTATAACATTGTATTCTGAACAGATAACCGTCAATTTCACTCAGAGTAGAAACATCGTTCCTGTGGAAAAGTTAACGACTAGCTTTTATGAATTTGTACTGTTTCTTGTCACATAGCTAGAAACCCAGGATAATTTTTAGAGTTAAGGGCATTTGTCTGTTTTTTACATGTTATTAGTCTATATTCTTTGGTGCATTATTTGATTAGAAAAAATTATTAACTGAATTACTATCATTACTATAAAAAATTAGGCTTAACTGTCTTCGAAACCCGACAGCAAGAAAAAAGAAGATTAGGTAAGTACTTTATTTCTTGTTTTTTATATTTATTATTGTAAAAGTAACTAAAATCTAAAAATATGGATCTTATTAAGTTATTTAAAACTAGATTAGGTAAAATAAGTAATAATAATATAATTAAAATGGTTCAAGAGACATTCATGCAAGCAGCTCATGGGTAATGTAATTCTATGAGGCACAACATGAGCCTCACATTCCCTGAGTGACTTACAACTTATAATGGTGTGGATAGTAGTTAGAAATGGTTCAAAGGGCAATAAAACAATAAAATTTAATAATAAATAGATGTACAATGTTACGAACTTAGAGCTACTTAGGATAAACGAATGTAGTTTCATGTTACAATTTGAAGTCATTCTAGAAAGAAAAAGAGGTTAATTTAGTTTTATTTTGATTTTTAATTTGGTGGTTACGAGGTCGGTCGAATTGACCAATCCTGTTTTGAGATAGGGTAGAGAAAATAACAGATACACTATAAAGTTTTACTGAAACAAAACGTTTGAAATGCTTTTAGGAGGTTTTAAGGATTACACAAAGGAAATTTTAGATTTTTGAGATGAAGAAAAGGAATTTTAAATCTAACATGAAAATTACTTTGCACACGGACTATTCAAAACAAATACTCAATATATTCATGGACAAAACTTTATTTTATTTTATTAAAAGTACTTCACTAAGAAATATGACTTTTTGTATGTGAAAGACTTGTAATATTAACTGAAAGACTGCTAAATTTTGTGAAGATATACCCTCTATATTGAGAGTTATAAGTATTAAATGTATAAGGACTAAATTAATACAAAAAGGTCACGTGGTCAGTCAAATTGACCAAGCCCATCTTTAAAGTGTTAAATGAAGTTGGCACACAGTTCCAGAACTTGTCCCCTAATGGGGACAACTCTAACTTTACTATCTTACAATACTGAAATCCAAGGCTTGATTTCCCTTGCTGGACACAGCAGATAGTCCACTGTGGCTTTGCTCTAAAAGAACAAAACAGTTCCTGAATTTATTATTCAAAATTATTTTGTGGATGAACATTGTTTTCAAGGATTATGAGTACCATCATACTTGTTTGAAAATTTATGGATCACATAACTGAGAGATGCAGTATATTTGTGGATACATCAGCACATAATCTCTCTGTCTCTTATTTTTGAATACTGTTGATTTTATCCAGTCTAAAAGAAAATCGGTATTACTTTTACAAGACTTATTGGTTACATATTTGGTCATTTTCTGTCAAGTGTGAATGCATGGTTGATTGTCTAAGAAAATTGCATTTTAAAATTATTTAACTACTGTTTAAATTTTTAAACTAAGATACTTAACCTATATTATTCAAAAGCCCTTTTTTAGACTACTAACATGTTTTATATGACTGTTTAATACAAGTATTCTAGCGTTTACTTTTTGTAGAGATCACTGTACTGTTCAGTCTTAACTCTAAACTTAATTTATAGTTTAACTATACTTTGTCAGGATTTAAAGTTTATAGCTCCAATACCATTTTTCAGGTACAGCATGATTTTACATACAGTTTCCAAGTTGGAAAATACTTGTTTATATTCTGTAATCTTAAAACAGACTGAAAATATTTTTCTAGTTAGACCCAATTTAGAAATTCTGGCTACCATAACTTATTTTGTTTTAATTTTATGAAATATAAGAACATAAGTAGGTATGACTTTTCTGTCAACTTCAGACCCTTTTCAGCTCTGCCTCCTATATTGTTAAAGACTAGCAATGAAATATTTTGATTGCTCTAAGCCTTACCTCAATAAATTATGCTTGTAAAGATTTACTATAACTAGCTGTGTTTTCTTGTGTCAAACAAGGATTGCATACAATTATATTTGACCTTTTTTTATGCTACAAGAGTACACTCTCCCAAGCTGACTGGTCAATAAAAATGGCTGTCCATATTTCACTGAACATGCCAAAATACTATCATCATCTTGCCCTACAATTATGACTGTTTATTATTGAGTGAACTAAGCAGTTTAAATTTATGGTTTTATTTAGTATATTATATATATCCATGCATGTTTTGTTTCAGTTTTCCAAATGTTATTTGTTTTGCTGTAGAACACAGTTAATAAAAGGTTAGGGACAATATATCATTCAGTCTATTCTTAGATGGCTCTTGTCAAAATGTTTTTCTGAAGAATAAAAACAAATTCATAGGGATATATGCATGTATGTGTTTATACATATATATCATTTTAGCTTAATTTTGTCATTCTTAATTAGAATGCAAATTTTTAGTATGATAATGAATATTTATGAACACTTGTTTACTTTCAGGTATCATTCAGAAACAGCTCTTGTAAGGTACATGAAAATGTTGGAGAATAAAGACATTTCATTGGTACATTCCATGATACCCCTAGTAAGTTAAATGTCTTTGATTGTAAAGATTAATCAAAAAATAGAAAGTTGAAGATGAGAGGAAGTAATTTCATTTTTTTCAAATGAGTTTCACAGAAATATTTCTGACATCACTCACCTGCTAATTTTGACATTTATGATACAGTTTAATGCTTGATACAGTGTGACATAAGTCGTTTTGTGCAAAACATCTTACTCTGATAAAATTTAAAAACATTGAAATGTGATGTTACACTGTAGGAGCCTGAAACTTGTGTAGGCTCCTATTTAAAAAAGAAAAACGAGCATTAAAAAAATAAATTCTTATGTTGAAGATGTAAAGATAGAATCAGGAAGTAGAATTTAACTTCATATCTGTTGAAGCATTACTGGCATAAATTTTCATTACACACAGAAGAGCTTGAACTGATAGATATTTGAACAAATGAAAATTTGGGTCACTCATTGCAGATCAAATTGAATTTAACTGAAAAAGAATTATGTTAATTGTATTACAAATCTTTTTATTTTAGAATATTGCAGAACTTGTATTGTAACATTATTTAGTGCTTATCCAGTTTAATTAAAATTCACTTCTTTGATATCTCCAGGTGCCTGAATTTTTGGATATAAAAATGCAAGCTCCTAAGCTTATAGTTATTTTCAGTTAGCTTGATGTCTGTGTTGTTTCTGTTCATTTTGTTTGTCCAACTATGAATTTATTGTTTGAGCCCACATTTAATGTGCTGCCAGGAGAAACCTTGAGAATTGTGACTGGTTCTCAGCCTTGAAAAGAGAGGAGTTTAAACCATTCATTTTCAGAGAAGAGAGATGAAATTTAGTTCTGTGTAATCTAAATTCAAATAGTACTTTTGAAAATGGTGAGATTGGGTAATCAAGTTTTGAAATATTTCCCAATTAATTAGTCGTAGGATTTTTTCTAGTTTCTGATGTATTACTTTTTATTTCTTATGATGTTTTTGTGGTATGTTATGTCTGACAGCTATAGGAGTATTGTTCTTTAATTCTGTGATTACCGTATACATTTTATCTTGCCCTGAGGGAAAAACCACACTTATGAATCCAAAAATTATAGAGAACTTGTTTAAAATATTATTTCAGATTTAATTTTTTGAAGTATTAGCATAATAATGAGCTAAAAATATGTTTTAGACTGTAAATAAGTACCCTCTAAGGCTAAAACATTTTCTTTAAAAATTTGTAAAATATTTTTCCTTGCATTTGTTCTGTCACCTATTATTGGTATTTTCCTTTATGAAAAAGTGTCTGGGCATATTCAACCTCTGTGGTAAAAATTTTAACTAATCATAGTCTTATGGTGTCAATTTCAGTACCAACTTATTTAATGCACTATATTTCATGTTTTGCCACTCATAGAATAATAAACAAAGCATGTGTTGAAATAGGAAAGTGGGTAGTATTTATTATAAAAATTGGCATTTTATTTTTATACTGTACTTAGTTTAGAGGCCATAGTCTTTTGTTATACATTGTAAAAATCTTGCCTTTGAAAAGAACTGCATGGCACATATATGACTTATATGATTTTTCTATAGATTTGAAAATCATGCTATATCATTTATCTATTCATGTTAATCATTATGTTGCACTATTAACTAAAAATAAATGTTTTTAGGAAAGAAGTTCACTCAAAGAATGTTAGGGTTAAGATTTATTGATGTTTCTAGTGCATGGTCTTTACAAGTGGATTAGTCTTAGTGCTTTGAACTGAAAGAGGTTGTGTTCATTATATTCTTTTGCATTTAGATTAGCAGGTCTAAGTAAAATAATTTAGCTTATTTTTATATTTAGTTCATAATAAAAATATAATTCACTATTTAGAAAGATAAGCTTGTGACATTTGTATGTACTACTAATACTAGTAGTAGTTCTTCAATAGTTTGGCTTCTCATAATTCCTTTTTCATTCTTTACTATCTTTGCTCTGTCGTCTAAGACCCACACTTGGATAAATAAAAACAGAACTAATGGTTATATAATATAATTTATTTTGATATTTTGCAAAAATGTTATAAAAGGAGAAAATGAAATTACATAAATATATTATAAATATATATATACATAAATATTTATATAATATAAAGTTACAAATCAAGGTACATATACAAAAGAGGAGCATCAATGATCACAAATACTAAAAGTTAGCAGTAAAAGTGTAAATTATAAGGTGGATAAGTAAATATATAGATATTCTTTATATATTTTATTACAACTCGTGAATATAGTGCAAAAGAAATTAACACTTCAGTTCAACATGGTTACTAAGTTAACTCTTTCATCACAGACTCGGTCCCTGGGACCAACCTTGTAAACATTTTGTGGTTGTTATAGTTTTTAAGCTATATCTTTTAAATTAGTAAGTGAATGTTAACAAAATTTGGCAGATTATCAGTAAACATTACAATGCTTTCATACGCAAAATATCAATTAAGGTTTGTAAAGCAATATTTTTTGCATGCATAGTAATATTAATTTTAAGATTAAAAATACTTTTAATGCATAAGAACATTTTGAAATTTCACATGCAAAATCTTTATAATGTTCAGATAGCTATCAAACGTTTCTTAATAAAAAAAACTTTATATTTTATCTATTATTTTCAGTAATTAATCTGTGTATGGGTTCGGTAGATTTGACCGATCTTGCAACCACCATACAAAATTAAGAAATAAGTATAAATTATGCCTCTTTCATTCTAGAATAAACACAAATTATAAAACAAACAAATGTTTCGACTAAATAGCTTAAATCTCATAACATTGTACATTTATATATATATTTATTATTTTTATTATACTCACCTTTCAGCCAAAGTTATTGACATAAATTCATGAAATAGTAGTTCAGTAAAATTTTGAATGCAAGTCAACAAATGATATGTCATGGCCTTTCACCTGTGACTCATCTCAAAAGGGCTAAAAAATCTGTTAGCTACCTGGTAATGAAAAACAATCAAAATCAAACTGGTAAGTTATGCACTGTGAAATATACATACAATTTTAGGCAAATCATTAGTACAGGAATCCCTTGATTAGTGCGGTTAATGTGTTCTTTAAAAGAGCCGCACTAATCGAATATTATAACTTATAGGAAATCATGTAATTCGTACTTTAATTTTCATTCTCATTCACAACTAATTTCTATCTTGCGTATTTTGTAATCAAAGTATAGGTATATAAGAAAATACGAAAAAAATGCAATGAATTAAAATTTATCGATCTCATTTTTTTATGAAAAACTTATCATATCGTATACTTCTGTTCTTCATATAATTGGCAGTACTGAGAAATTGCCTCATCAATTTTTCTGCAAATTTGACGGCTTCTGTCTTCATCAGGGTCTGTTTCTAAACATTTTCCCTCAAATTCTTCAATAACCGTGAAACGTTCTTCTAGTTCCTTCTTTGTCATCTTATGCTGGCGGATAGGTAAGATTTCTTCACATTCATCAATGTCTTTATATGCTCTCTGAGTGTCCAAGTTTATAAGATCCTTATTGGTTAGTTCTTCTGAATGAGCTTCTAGCAATTCTTGCACATTTTCATCATCAATCTCAGCGAAGCCAAGTTCTTTTCCAGTATGAGTAATCTCTGTAATGACCTCATCTGTATCTTTTGAAAAGCCTGTGACATTTTGTGCACAGTGTGGAAAAACTGTCTTCCAAACACCTTGCATATTTTTAACTGAAATTTCATTCTATGCTTGATGAATATTATCAATAGCATCCTTAATACTGAATTTCTTCCAAAATTGAACTAGTGTCATAGAATTCTCTCCAGATGTTGCTTGAATCGCTTGTTGGAAAGTCTTTCTCAGGTAGTATGCTTTAAAGGTCGCGATAACGCCATGGTTCATTGGTAGTGTTTGCGGGCAAAAATGTCACTTGGATATTTTTGCACATTGAATCGTAACCAAAGGGATAACCATGGGCATTATCTAAAATAAGCAAAGCTTTGAAATCTAAATTTGTTCTTCGGCAAAAGTCTTCAACCGTTGGACAAAAATACGTGACAAACCATTCTTCAAACAAAGCTTTAGTTACCCATGCTTTTTTATTAAATTTCCATATTATTGGTAATTGTCCTTGATTTATACATTTAAGAGCTCTTGGATTCTAAGCTCGATAAACCAACAAAGGCTTTAATTTCAAATTTCCTTTAGCATTGCTGCCCAATAAAAGGGTTAGTCTATCCTTTGCAGCTTTATATTCTGACTGGAACTCTCAGATTTGGCTAGAAAAGTTTTGGAAGGCATCCTTTTCCAAAATAATCCCGTCTCGTTGACGTTAAAAATTTGTTCATCCGAATACCCTCCTTCTTCCACAATTTTCTTCAGAACTTCAGGATATTCATCAGCAGCTTCCTTATCTGCACTAGCTGCTTCCCCTGTAATTCTTACATTGTGCAGGCTAGTTCTTTTCTTGAACTTCTCAAACCATCCAGCACTAGCATGGAACTCCTTTGTCTCTTCTTTGAACTTTTCTTCTTTTAAGATTGAAAATAGACTTAATGCTTTTTCTTTTATGAGATCAGTGCTTAAAGGAATTCTTTTCTGGTTACAGTCCTCTATCCAGATAGTTAGCAATCTTTCTAATTTAATCATGATAACATTTTGATTTCG